CAGAACAGTGAACATAGTATACTACGTCCTATGAAGAAAGAAAGTAATAGATATGCATTTACAGTTACTTGTATTTGTGTAAAGGAACACCAGGTATAACCAAGAAAGTAATTAAAATGGTAATCTAAAGGTAGCCTAAAGGAATGGGGTAGAAATAGAGGTAGATGAAGGCAGAAGTAGAAGCAAGCAAGTTTCTCCAGCATATTCTCATAATTTATTTTGTTTTGCTTTCCAAAGCATGTTTTTATACTACAAATTCAACAAATAAAGTTTAATTTAAAAACTACGATAAGACTCAAGGCCAGAGACACAAATTGTGAAATCTTTGGCAAATAAATGATAAAGTCAAGGAAGAGGTGTGGGATGAAGTAGTTTGTAGCAGGGCAATGGTCCCACACGAGGCAACTAGAAAAGCTGTGTTAAATGATAAAAACCATATATTTAAAGGCAGAAAATGACAAGAGGACTATAGGGATTAAAATTCCAGAGAGAGCAGATGTTTTTAGAGGTGATTTGGAGATCTCAAGGTGTCCCTGAGATTCTTGCCAATTCTTGATGAAGGCTAGGTGCTGACAGTCTGGACTAGGTCAAAGTAGAGGATCACTACTGAGGGCAAGTAAACTGGCAGAGGTTTTGGTGATCACATAGGACTAAGTGAGACTGCGAGACTCACTAACAAAATTATTGTTTCTCTGGAGAAATTTGTTGAAATTTGATGCTGTGTGGGCCGAAGTCTGAACAAAAAGTATCATGACTTGTCTTTCTCTCTCCATCAAGGTGCTCATTAAGAAAGACTAGTTCTTTAGTTTCTTTCCTTCCAGCCATCATTTAGAAAAATGTTTATGTCTTCTCAATTGTGATAGTCATCATAGATTCAAGCAAGAAGTTAGATGAGCACTAGTGGAATAAAAGCTGAAAGTGTCAGTTTCCTCCTATACTGGTGGGTGTTGGAGAATGGCAAGAAAAACAGCAAAAAAAAGTGTTTCTACTAATAAGTATTCAATTATAATATTAAAACACAGTGCAAAGAAAATGCAGGCAAAAACAATGAGAAAATTATAGGACAACCTAACTCAGTCCAAGGATTCAGAGAGGGCGTTCTTGAAGAACTGACATTTAACCTGAGTCCTAAAGGATGGGGGCTGAGTATTTCACACAGTGGGAACAACATATGCAAAGATTCTGAGCAGGGGAAGCAGCTTCATAAGATTGTTGTGTTACAGAATTTCATGAACAAGGAGGATGATAAAGGCAAAAATGAGGTGTGAGATGGCGTGCAAAGAGACTGATTCAATCAGGCTGACCCTTGTAAAGTTTTCTGCAATTCTAGATTTTATCATAAGAACAAGGGGACAGTGAAATAACCGTAATTTCACAGTAAAAAAAAATCACTTTGGCTGGTTTGTGGAGAGTGGATTGAAAGTATAAGGATAGATTTTGGGAGGTAAAATATGTAGTCATTTCATTTTTTTAAGGAGAAAGACACAACCTTGCAATAGGCCAGTGAAATTAGAGATAAACAATTAAAAAAAAAACAGAGAAAGAGATATGAAAAAGCTATACGTAAAAAAAAAATCACAGTCCTTGGTTATTAATTCTAGTCAAAGAGGAAAAGGATGGTACCAACGATGCCTCTTTTCACATTTTGGGCCTGAGCATTGCATGATGATGCATGACATTTCTACTTCTTGTGACAGGGAACACTAGGGAAAGAGCAGCTTTTGTGCAAAATAGGAACTTAAGTGTAGAAATGATGTCTTTTAAGAAATATATGGAGTGAAAAACATAAATTTAGAAGTCATAAGACAGTAGAAGCTGCCTTTTTACATTTTGGAAGACTACTAACAAATTTTTTTGTTTATTCCATGAAATTCTTAAATCAGTCTATCATAGACTTATTAGGCAATATACAAAAAATATTCACTTTGTTGTTAAAATACATTCATTTTTCATTAAATATTTTAATAAATATCTTTTTTATTTTGTGCTGTTCATTTAACATTATGGAAAATTCTGGGAATCATTACTTTTTTCATCTTGTTTTATATATCAGAAAGATGGTTATAATCAAACTGAAGATACATAAATACATCTTAAGGATCATACTTTTGAGTTATGGTCAGCTCTATTTATGCTTCAGAAAGCAATGATAATCCATGTAAGAAAACTACATGTACTAAATGAAGCAGAACATTCAAATTATAGTTAGGTATATCATTACTATTTCCACATTATGCCAAGATCTATGCTAAAGTGTGGTTCTAAGATGTGATACTTCCTTTTTCTTACCTTAAGAATCTGCTCATTATAGATGTATAAATTGTTTTTTTATTTAAAGGCATCATTATCTTTTGAAGATTGGTTAATTTATTTTCATTTTCCTAGTAGTAAAAATTTGAGGAAAGAGTATATATTTTTATCAGGTTGATATGGGTAGAATTATCTCACTTTTTGCAAAATAGTCACAAAATATTGTACATATGCTACATTTTAGTAAATTGAGTCAGTTTGGATGAAAATATTGGCCATACTAGTTTATTGTTCAAATTCTAGAATAAGGAAACAAAGGCTAAGCCTAGAGTTTATTTATTTATTTTTTTAATAAATTAATTTTTATTGGTGTTCAATTTACCAACATACAGAATAACACCCAGTGCTCATCCCGTCAAGTGTCCCCTCAGTGCCCGTCACCCACCCACCCCCACACCCCGCCCTCCTCCCCCTCCACCACCCCTAATTCGTTTACCAGAGTTAGGAGTCTTTATGTTCTGTGTCCCTTTCTGATATTTCCCACACATTTCTTCTCCCTTCCCTTATATTCCCTTTCACTATTATTCATATTCCCCAAATGAGTGAGAACATACACTGTTTGTCCTTCTCCGATTGACTTACTTCAATCAGCATAATACCCTCCAGTTGCATCCACGTTGAAGCAAATGGTGGGTATTTGTTGTTTCTAATGGCTGAGTAATATTCCATTGTATACATAAACCACATCTTCTTTATCCATTCATCTTTCGATGGGCACCGAGGCTCCTTCCACAGTTTGGCTATTGTGGACATGGCTGCTAGAAACATCGGGGTGCAGGTGCCCCGGCGTTTCATTGCATCTGAATCTTCGGGGTAAATCCCTAACAGTGCAATTGCTGGGTCGTAGGGCAGGTCTATTTTTAATTCTTTGAGGAACCTCCACACAGTTTTCCAGAGTGGCTGCACCAGTTCACATTCCCACCAACAGTGTAAGAGGGTTCCCTTTTCTCCGCATCCTCTCCAACATTTGTTGTTTCCTGCCTTATTAATTTTCCCCATTCTCACTGGTGTGAGGTGGTATCTCATTGTGGTTTTGATTTGTATTTCCCTGATGGCAAGTGATGCAGAGCATTTTCTCATGTGCATGTTGGCCATGTCTATGTCTTCCTCTGTGAGATTTCTCTTCATGTCTTTTGCCCATTTCATGATTGGATTGTTTGTTTCTTTGGTGTTGAGTTTAATAAGTTCTTTAGAGATTTTGGAAACTAGCCCTTTATCTGATAGGTCATTTGCTAATATCTTCTCCCATTCTGTAGGTTGTCTTTGAGTTTTGTGGACTGTATCCTTTGCTGTGCAAAAGCTTCTTATCTTCATGAAGTCCTAATAGTTCATTTTTGCTTTTGTTTCTTCTAGAGTTTCTTTAAAATAAAATAAAATGTAGCTCTTATTTTTTTACTTTCTAAAATGTTCAAAGCTTAATTATTTTTTATTGTATTTTTCAATTTATTTTACAAACTACTAATATGTGGCATTATGCTTTTTTTAATGAATTTATTTTTTATTGGTGTTCAATTTACCAACATACAGAATAACACCCAGAGCTCATCCCGTCAAGTGCCCATCTCAGTGCCCGTCACCCAGTTACCCCCACCCCCCACCCACCTCACCTTCCACCACCCCTAGTTTGTTTCCCAGAGTTAGGAGTCTTTCATGTTCTGTCTCCCTTTCTGATATTTCCCACCTATTTTTTCTCCTTTCCCCTTTATTCCCTTTCACTATTTTTTATATTCCCCAAATGAATGAGACCATATAATGTTTGTCTTTCTCTGATTGACTTATATCACTCAGCATAATACCCTCCATTATTCATTTTTTTTTGAACAAATACTTGCTTTGCTTTGACCAATAGGAAGTACAGAAAGGTTCATTTTTTTTTTATATTTGGGAAAGTTATTTTTTGTTTATTTTTGGTTTTGAATAGTGAGAGGAACAGTCAGAGGTCCAGTAAGAAAGAGAAGTCCTCTCCCCAGTTAGGACAATTTGAGCAAGGTTGAAGAAAATGGCTATTTAAAATGTGGGTGGAGTATAAGGAATCATGTGGTAGTGTACCTGCGTCTGTTTTTGACCAAAAGAAAGAGAAAAGAGAGGTAGGAAGGAGAGAGACCTGTAGAGGGAACTGCTTTGCCTAGGGGCCCAAGCAACCTGATATAACCGCAGGGAGAGTCTAGGCATGAACACCTTGACTTCACTTTTCTTCCTAACTCTGGAGCACCCAATTCATAAACCCTAACTAGAAGGCAGAAAGCAAGAGAGCCTATTAATGTACTACATTTAGGTCAGCCTCCCATGACAGAGATATATAGAGAAATGCAGGGAGTGGATCTCCCAAGGGCAAAAGGGAAAAATCTAAAACAGTGGGTATGCACGTCAAAATGGAAAAAGGTAGGTGTGAGAGTTAGTGCTAAGTCTTTTTTCAGCAAAGGAAAAAGAGGTTGGGCCAGAGGGTTTGGCCCCTAAATGCTTCCTCCTTGAGAAGAGCTAGAAGTTTTGGGATCAGTTGCCAAGGGGCAGGATATGAAGAAATTGAAAGAGTTGTAATTCTTTTATTCATCCAGATTGAACTTTGTCAACTGGCTAAAGATTCTTAGTTTAATTGATGCATAGGAAAAAAATAACCTTGAACCTAACATAAATTTCTCTATAGCTAATAATAATGATGTTTTGGTAATATCATTACTATTTGCTTGCAGGATTGTACCAGACAATCAGCGTTCTTTGGCCTTGGGTCTGACCTATGTGATTTTGAGAATATTTGGTATGAAACTTTTGGCAATCTTTTATTACAATGAATTGTTCATTTTTTGATATGTGTGTCTACGTGTATATTTGGAATTTCAGATAAATAATAATGGTTAACTGACACAAAACAAGCAAATGGGGGAGCTACTTTGCAGAATTTAGGAGACAATATTTATGTATAAAGACAATACCTAATGCAAAGCCTATCCTAACTATCATATAAAATATACACCAATATTAAATTTGATTAGATGGGACAATCTATTTGATTAGAGATATATTCATCAAGCTTACACAACTAGTTTCGTAAGCTGAAACAAAACACATAAGCACAGCATTGCTTGCACATTTGGGAAGTCACTAACTTAAACTAGTGCTTTTAAACATTTTCATTTTCAAAGACTCTAAATCTGTTTTTAAGAGTTTATACTCAAAGAACAAATTGGTCTTGCTGAGAATAATGCACTGTGTATTTCAGGCTTTCTTAAAATAGCAAAAATTAGCTTTCAAACCTACATTATATTAACACCCCTGATTCAAAAGTTGATTAAAATATTGATGGAGCAAGAAACTAGATTGAACTGGATTGGAGATTGAAAGACATATGATAGAGTCAAGAATGTAGAAAAAATTAAGCGTGGCTTTGATGGGAATCAGAGAAATAATAATTCTATATCTAGATCAATATGTAGGTTAAAATTAGCTTCCTTAATAAGGAAAAATTAGAGCATATTTTTATGTGAATAATGACCCAATAGAAAGGAGAGATTTAAAAAAATTGTTTATTTATTTGAGAGAGAGAGAGGGGGCATGAGCCGGGGGAGGGACAGAGGGAGAAGGAGAAGCAGGCTGTCTGCTGAGAGGGGCTTCATGGGGGTTTGATGCTAGGGTCCCGGGATCATGACCTGAGGGAATGGAAGATGCTTAACTGAGCCAGTCTGGCATCCCCAAGAACAGATTTATAATGCAAGAAGGAACATAAGAAACAGCAAGTATTATTAACAGTATCTGCATCAGAAAGGAAGCCAGTGAGACTAATACATTTTTGATGGAAAAGGGTGGTATATGATATTTTAGATAGAGACTGGGTCTATATCCAACTGGATTTTGCCAACAGAGAATTTGAAGCAGAAGATAGAGATTATCTGATTTACATTTAAAAGATAACTCTGCTTCTGAGGGAGAAATGCTTATAGAAGATAAATGTGGGGAGGGAAAAAAGGCTTCTGCTGAAGTCTAAGTGGGAATTATATTAAATCGGATTCTGGAACTTGTAAAAGACACAGAGAAATCAATATATCTAAGATATATTTGGAGTTAGTGTCACAAAGATTTATCATGGATTGGAAAAATATGATGGAAAACAGAAAAACATGAATAGTAAGTATAAATTTGTCACCTTGAGCAGTTATAAACAGAGTGCCAGCACTCAATGAAATTGGGGAAATCAGTAATGGATAGTGATCTTTGGCAGGAATCAAAAGTCATAAAGCATGAGGGTCCTGACAGAAGGAAGGTGGTTAAGACATGTTAGTTCTAGGGCCTCTTTTCTAATGCCTTTGGGATTTTTTTTCCCCCTGAGATTTTATTTCTAAGTAAGCCCCATACCCAAAGTGGGGCTCAAACTCACAACCCTAAGATCAAGAGTCACATGCTCCAATGACTGAGCCAACTAGGCACCCGAGTGGCTTTTAAAAAAAATCAGTTGTGGGATCCCTGGGTGGCACAGCGGTTTGGCACCTGCCTTCAGCCCAGGTCATGATCCTGGAGACCCGGGATCAAATCCCACGTCGGGCTCCCGGTGCATGGAGCCTGCTTCTCCCTCTGCCTGTGTCTCTGCCTCTCTCTCTCTCTCTCTCTGTGACTATCATAAATAAACAAAAATTTAAAAAAAAGACTAAAAAAATCAGTTGTAATTCACTTTTAGCTGAAATTGTTGCTGAGTAGATGTTGTCTCTGGGAGTATATAAAGATTTCCCTCAGGCAGTGCACAACTGTTCCTCTGGATTTGAGGTCCTCTGAATCTAAGGGTGCTTACAAACATACCAAAGCATTTTCATTTTCAGGTATTTCTCTCAATATCTTGATAACATGTACACTGCAATACAAAACTATTCATTGATTGAAAATGACACAATTTGAAATCTTTGGAGGCACACTGAATTCACAAAAATAATACTTAATATCTGTTTTAAATACTTCCTCCTAAATTTTTATTTGAAAAATCAACAAAAGTTTTGAGATATCAAATAACGTGTACACCATTCTAAAAATATGAAAGTAACTAATTTTTTATACCTACAGAGATAAGGATTTTTAAAAATACAGTCATTGCTTCGTTATTAATAATCCTATAAATAAATTCATAGCTAATTTTAAATGATACATTTAAATGTGATGATGACTAAATTTATGTTTAATTTTAGAATAAAAGCATTCTTATCCTTACTTGTAGTGTTATCATGGAGAATTTACAATTAATGCATTTTTCACAGGGACTATACCTGGACCAATACTTTTTAGAACGGCAGGAGACACTTCTTGTATCTTTCGGGTGACTGAATACTGTGGAAACAAAGGAAATTGTTGGATCTATAATAAGTTAAAAATGGCCTACCTTATGGTAGGAATATGTAAGTGACACCTATTGAAGGAATATAGAAAAGTATAATTGTTTTAAAAATGTTTAGTTGTTTACGGTAATGTGCAAGAATAATAAATTGTGGACAAATGGATACCTTGATGATTAAAGAAGCCTTATATAGAAAATATTTTAGAAATGTAAGTATTATAGTATTCACTTGAGTATTTGAGTCATTGCATTAAGTACACAATTGTTTCATGTTAGTCTTGAATAAAGGGTGGTAATTAGCAAAGTTTCAATTTAGAAATCAATTTTGTCCATATACAAACACAAACAAGTTGCTTGACCTTATGCCCGTTTCCATTTCATGGTAAAGGATTAGATAATTAAAAATATTTTTTTCATACCCCTAAAGAGCATCAAGATATTCTTACCCTACTTTCATTAAGTTTCACTTATTTTATTTTATTTTTTTTTGCTTAATGATATAACAATCTACATAGCAAGCATTCATTATTTGTTGAATAAATAAGAGATACAGGGAATTAGGATACTATGGTGGTCTGAGTTATGGTCAGTGTTGAGAAAGTCTAAATATTCTTGTATTACTTTGGAAAGTTCACTAGATTTTTCTGGATCTCAATTTATTCATCTGTAAGGTGAGGATGTTGGACTACACAATTTCTGAAATTTTAATCAGTACTAACATTTAATGATTTTATTGTATAGATGTTGGTGTGATAAATATTTAAGTGTTTATATGTTTTGTGACTTTAATGAGTGTGTTCGTTCAAAGAAACACATAATAATAGATGCTAATATTTAATAGTAACAAACACCTCTGTGACATATCGTACAGTGGTGCCTTGTAATTCAAAAGTCAATTATCCAGCAAGCTTAGTCTATACTGACACTTGAATAAAGCAAAATTAAAAAAAACTATTAAAAAGTAAAAAGATGACATTTAAGTAGTCAAAATTAATTTATCAGAGATAGTTCAACAAAACTAGGCATTGTTCATGACGAAGTCCTCTTAAGACACTGCTGAGTCTTTTAAATTTTATTTTATTTATTTTATTTATTTTTTTATTTATTTATGATAGTCACACAGAGAGAGAGAGGCAGAGACATAGGCAGAGGGAGAAGCAGGCTCCATGCACCGGGAGCCCGATGTGGGATTCGATCCTGGGTCTCCAGGATCGCGCCCTGGGCCAAAGGCAGGCGCTAAACCGCTGTGCCACCCAGGGATCCCTAAATTTTATTTTAGATACAACTGCAGCATGCTTATCTATTTTCAAACACAGCACATAATTGAGAAAGCTGGGGAACTGCTGGGGATCCTGCTAAGGAGCTCCTAAAAGGAGAGAGCAATAATAAAAAAAAAAATAAGGAATTATGTCAGAAAGGGTAGATGAAACTGCAATAGGAATATGCTTTTGTGGCAGTTAGTGTAAACTAGTCCATTTTAAAGTTCTGATCATCAAAAGAAATAATTGAAAGATAGCCACAGTGTAGAAGGTAAAATGTGAAAAAGAATCAATGTTCAAAATATATAAAGAACTCCCATAAATCAGTAATAGGCAAAGGATTGACAATGGAAAAATAGACCAAAGACTTGAAGGAACTCTTCACAAAAGTGGATAATGGAACAGTCAATAAACAATGGCTTGGATAAATTGTGATAAAATCAGCAATGGAATAGTATACAACAATGAAAATGAAAGCTACACAGTTGCATAAATAATGAGCGAATCATACAAACATAATGTTGAAAGAAAGCAAGAAGAAACAAATGATTATGCAGCGTGTGATTCCACTTACATAGTTTTGACCTGTTTTAAATATACTTCAAAAGCAAACAGAACTAACCCTTTTGGGTTAGTGACCGAGAAAACACGAAGGAAGGCTTTCTGGGTGTTGACAGTGTTTCGTTCCTGATTCAGATGCTGGTCACAATATGTTTAGTTGGTGAAAAATTTATCGAACAGTACCCTTTAAAAAATTGAGATGTAATTAAGATATATTTAGCATAGATCTCAGTGTTTGGTTTCATGGCCTTCCATAATTCAGTGCACCTGTGGAATCAGCGCCTCGTCCAAGCAGAAATTTCCCCTGTGTCTCTTTTCAGTCAATTTCCAGATAAATCTCTTTCAGATTTCTATTATGTTGGTTCTGCATGTTCTAGCAATTTATGCAAATGGAATGCAGTATATACTGTTGTTGTTGCTTTTTTTCTGTGTTGCTTACTATGCTTTGGGGGAGATTCAGCTGTATTATTCCATAGCAGTAGTTTGTGCTCTTAATAATTTCTGAATACTACTTCATTTCGTGAATATATTACAATTTATCCATCTCAGTGTTGGGCTATTCTAAATGTGTGAAAATTGTGTTCTTATAAATGGCAGACTAATTAATGTTTCTTACTTAATCTTTTTTAACCATTATAATTGATATTGTCAGATAACTGATGTTCCCCTAAAATAATTTTTATTTTAATTTTCAGGGTTATTTGCATCCTAAGCTCAAGTACTTTTATATAATGCTTATAATACATTAATTTTCTGAAACTTGAAAATGAATAAAAACCCTACGTAGTCAACTACTTTTTCTAACATATTTGTTTGTATTTGGAAAATGGTATATATTTCAAAAAGACTGCATGAAATGAATTATATAGGTTCCAGTCCCTATTGATATTTAAGTTTTGAAAGCAGAAATATACTTTTAAGCTTTAGAATTAATTCATTCTATGAAATAATAACACACCTTGCATTTTCTTGGGATATATCTTCAAGAAATCTAAAAGTTTTTGTAAACATTAAAAATACCTCCTTTAAGTAATATAAATTTATGACACTAATTACATTTTACAATTGGAAAATTGATATTTTATAGCAAGGAAATATACTTACCTTTTCTTTGGTAAATGTCATTCTCTCTAGAAACAGTTTTGCTCTAAATAGATTGACACATCTGATGCTTGTATTTTTTTTTAAATTCAGGTTCTATTTGCAAATTAATCACTATCTTCTTCACCGCTATTGCATTTTGCCTATATAAATGTTTATCAGAGGAAAACAATGACACGCTGCATATACCTGTGAAGAATCTAAAAGTAAAAAGAAAGGGAAAAAACTAATTTATAACTGGATCGAAATGAAGAATTATACACTGTCAGTCCATCAATGGAATGCTATATTAATAAAATTTGAAATAATTACAATATAGTTACATGTTTAATAAATGAATGTGATTCATATGACCCTGTAAGTTTTATTATAATTTGAGTACAAGTATAGTAATATGGTCTCTGTGTTTGGATTTTTATAAGATATTGTAAAATACACATTTAATACTTTCTTTTTTTTTTAAGATTTTATTTATTCATGAAAGACACAGAGAGAAAGAGAGAGGCAGAGACATAGGCAGAGGGAGAATGATGTGGGACTTGATTCCAGGACCCTGGGATCACAACCTGAGCCAAAGGCAGGCGCTCAACCACTGAGCCACCCAGTTGTCCCCACATTTAATAGAAACACAATACTATGAAAAAAAAAGATGAAGCAGAAGTGGGAAAATACACATAAGTTAATTCTGACTACAAAAATATGTATTAATTATTAGCCTTTGTTTATATAGGACTACTTAGGTTTCATATAGTTTATTCATACTACTTTTCATTTGGGCTGTGGATGTTTATTTATAAACTCAGTAATTTTTCAAGATAACATTAGATTTATCAATTTGATTCATATAAGGAGAAATTAATGTCCTATTTATTTCTCCAAAAGAAGACAACTTTAAACCTTTTAAAAATTACCATTTTATTTATCTTTTATTTCACCATGGAGAGGTTTCTTTGGAAGCTTTCTCTGGTCAGCTGGCCAATGTGCAATGCATATTTTTATGCTCCTTTAATTTTATCAGGCGCAAGATTCAGTATGATCATATATTTTTACTTTGATTTGAGTTTTATCGATAAAGACTATCTGATACCTGAACTGAGTTCCATTTTTGGGCTTTTATGTTTCATTGTATGATAATTATAATTATTTCATGTGAAAAGATACTCAAATTTAAATGTAGAAACTGTGTCAACCATTTGTGGAATTTTTCTTAAGTTTAAATGTGTTTCTCTAGAGAGTTTTTGTTACAATTATTTCATACATCATTGTACATCCATCCAAATTATATAGCAATTTTCTAAATACTGGAATAAAAATCAGATTGTTATAAAACAAAAACTTATCTACATTGTTTCTGTTGTTCTCTTGGGAGAAGAAACAACTGACAAAATTTCTCCTTTATTATGTACATTAGTCACTGACCCTGCATGTAAGGGTAGATAGACATTGGTCTATTCTTTTTTTTTTTAATTTCTCCAAATTTTTAAATTAAATTCCAGTTAGTTAACATACAGTGTAATATTAGTTTCAGGTTATTTTGCTTACCATAATACTTTCAAGCCTCATCCATGTCACTACAAAGGGCCTATTCATGGTATTGGCTGTCAGAGATAAAGGTGAAGCAGTGAGTATTCGTATTTTACTATATATATTTCTTTCTTAACTTCAACGTGCACTTATGAAAACCTATAAACTAGTATCTATGTGAAATTCTACTTGACTGCTTGACTCTTCTCTGTTGGGACCAGTATGATTGCAGGGTATCTGTTGATCAGAGTGTGAAAACGGGAGTTTCTCCTTGAAAGATTCTCAAGGATCTACTGCTGTGCCCTACATTCAGAAAAAACAAACAAAAAACCCCACACATGATGTTTACCTAAGTAGTAGAAATGTATCTATGGTGATCTGCATTTTCAGAATACCTTCTTAGGAAGCATTTCTCATGTTCTTAAAGTGTATAGGATTTCAAATATCAGTGAATAACAGTTTTTTCTAGGAAAATTAAAGTTTAATAATTTTGTGTTATTCATAAGTTTAATATTCTCTGTGTAAAGATTTTTTAAAATTTTTAAATTTTAATTGTTTTGTCTAAAGATACTGACTGAAAATTTATGCAACCAGGAAAATAAGGTAAAACAATAATACTCAGATCCATTTTGCAGGTGCTTGTTGCACATGTGTGTGTATATGTATATATTATCTATATATCTGTCTTTTTTCAAAAAACAAAGGTAAAACAAAAATTATAATAATTTGGGGAGTAGTGTTAAGACTTTAAATTTGATTATAGCTTCTTGATACTACAGAACATTTGTTTCTGTCACAAGCTAGTTTATAATGGATTGGTAAATAGAAAAATGATACAAGTTATGACCCAGAAGTTTCACTGGTTAACACTAAGTTAGCAGCTTTTTTTTTTTTTTTTAAGATTTTATTTATTTATTCATGAGAGACACAGAAAGAGAGAGAGGCAGAGACACAGGCAGAGGGAGAAGCAGGCTACATGCAGGGAGCCTGACGTGGGACCCGATCCCAGGTCTCCAGGATCACGCCCTGGGCCGAAGGCAGGAGCCAAACTGCTGAGCCACCCAGGGATCCCCAGTTAGCAGCTTTTGAAACCATCAGGGAAATCTTTCTTACTATTAAAGAAAAGATCTTATCATTAAATAAAATCTTAAGAAAAAACAGCTAAAAATCATACAGGAGCAACTTCCTTTGAAATCAGTTTTGAATAGTTTAATGTTACCAAGAATCATTATGCTTTTTACAATGTTAACATATCCAGTGAGGCTGCAAGTTCAGGTGAAGATGCTGCAAAGATATTTCTAATTTTTTTTTTTTAATGAGACTGATCTGTATTGGGAATTCGTGTCCTCAAAGAGCTATATCTCAACAGAAGAAGGTGAGCTCTGTGTTTAAACATAGGAAAGGTATCGCAGTACTGAGTGAAAACCTAGTGTGGATTTAATTGTGCTAAAATGTATTAAAATTGTGGTTGTTTTTGTTAGAACTCTGATTACAAAGTTGTAGTGGTTTACCTCTACATTGTTTTCTCCAGAAGACTAGTTATTTATGGTGTTTGATTTTGCCTAAAGGGATGTTTTAAAGGAATATACACATGATATCATAGCAGAAATGCTAATATTTTTAGAATTGAGAGCTGCAAATTGCATGTTCTCCAAAATCTTAGGATAATTACCATGAAAATCCTAGTTTCTCAATCTTTTAAAAAATTAATTCTTATTAATATTGAAGATTTCCTGCTTTAACATCTAGCAATCTTCCATATGTAGTCTAGAAAAGTATCAAGTTTTTTTTTTTAATTTTTATTTATTTATGATAGTCACACACACACAGAGAGAGAGAGAGAGAGAGAGAGAGAGGCAGAGACACAGGCAGAGGGAGAAGCAGGCTCCATGCACCGGGAGCCCGACGTGGGATTCGATCCCGGGTCTCCAGGATCGCGCCCTGGGCCAAAGGCAGGCGCCAAACCGCTGCGCCACCCAGGGATCCCCAAGTATCAAGTTTTGAGTTATTAATGGCATATTTCCCTTCTCAGCACAAGAATTTACTCTTATTTTCCCCAAGCTCTGTTAAGACATAATTGATATACAGCATTGCATAAGTTTACGGTATACAGCATGACTGGATTTATATATACTGTGAAATGATTACCAAAATAAGTTTAGTTAACATCCATCATCTCGTATAAATACAAAAAAAAAAAAAGAAAGGAAAGCAATGTTTTTTTTTTTTTTTTAAATTTTTTTTTGTTTTATTTATTTATGATAGGCACACAGTGAGAGAGAGAGAGGCAGAGACACGGGCAGAGGGAGAAGCAGGCTCCATACACCGGAAGCCTGACATGGGATTCGATCCCGGGTCTCCAGGATCGCGCCCTGGGCCAAAGGCAGGCGCCAAACCGCTGCGCCACCCAGGGATCCCGAAAGCAATGTTTTTTGCCTCATGATGAGAACTCTTAGTATCTCCTAACTTTCAAATATCCTATGAACAGTATTAACTGTAGTCATCGTGTTGTACATTATTTCCCCAGTACTTCCTTATCTTACAGCTGGAAGTTTGTATATTTGACCATTTTTGTCAGATTTCCATACCCCTCCCCCATTTATGGCAAGCACAAACCTAATCTCTCCTCCTATGAGTATTGTGGGATTTTTTTGTTTGTTTTGTTTTTCAAAAATTTTGTTTATGAGAGAGAGAGAGAGAGCGCGCACATGAGTTGGGCAGAGGCAGAGGAAGAGGAAGAAGCAGATGCCCCTTGGAGCAGGGAGCCTGACATGAGGCTTGATCCTAGGGTCCCAGGATCCCATCTGAGCCTAAGGCTGAGGCTCAACCAACTGAGCTATCCCGGCGCCCAGGATGGTGGCTTTTGTTGTTGTTGTTTGTTTTATATTTCACATATAAATGAGATTATAAAGAATTTGTTTTTCTCAGAGGCGCCTGAGTGGCTCAGCTGGTCGAGTGTCCAACTCTTGGTTTCAGTCCAGGTCATGGTCTTGTGGTTGTAGGACTGAGCCCCACGTTAGGCTCTGTGCTCAGTGTGGAGTCCGCCTGAGATTCTTTCTCCCTCACTCTCCCTCTTCTGCCTTTCCCTTTCCCACCTTCTCTCTCTAAAAATTAATAAAATCTTAAAAAAAGAATTTGTCTTTCTCTATCTTATTTCACTTAGCCTAATGCTCTCCAGGTCTACCCATGTTATCACAAATGAAAGGATTGCTATCATTTTTTGTGGCTGAATAATATTCTATTGTGCATACACAGCCTCTGTATCATTGATGGACACTTGTTTCCATGCTTTGACTGTTAGAAATAATAATGCTATGAACACAGGAGAGCAGATACCTCTTTGAGAGTGTATTTACTTATTTTGGATATGTTTCCAGGAGTGGAATTGTGGATCATCTGGTAGTTCTATTTTAAGTTTTGAGTGACCTTCATACTGTTTTCCATAGTAGGTGTACCAATTTATAATTGTACTAATGTGAACAAGGGTTTCTTTCCCCCACAAACTCATCAGCATTTGTTACCTTATCTTTTGACGATAGCCATTCCAAGAAGCATGAAGTGATACCTCAGTGTGGTTTCAATTTGCACTTCCCTGATAGTTAATGATGTTACACATGTTTTCATGTATCAGTTTGCTATCTGTACATCTTCTTTGGAAAAATGTCTATTCAGATAATCCGCCCATTTTTAAATTGGAATGTTTGTTTGGCTATTGAGTTCTATGAGTTCTTTTTATATTTTGAATATTAATCCCTTATCAGTTAGTTATATAATTTGCAAATATCTTTCCAAATGGTAAATTGTCTTTTCATTCTGTTGATCATTTCTTTTGCTGTGCAAAAGGTTTCTAATTTGATGTAGTCCCACTTTTTAATTTTGTTGCTTATGCTCTAGGTTACATATCCAATAAAATCATTCCAAGACCTATCTCAAGGAACTTTTTTCCTATGTTTTCTTCTAGGAGTTTTATAGTTTCTGATTTTACATTCAAGTCTTTAACCCATTCTAAGTTAATTTTTACAAGTGGTGTTAAGTAGGGATCTAGTTTCATTTTTTTATATGTGAATATCCAATTTTCTCAGCATCAATAATTGATGAAATCAGGAGAAATACTCATTTCTCCATTGCGTATTCTTGAACTCTTTGTCAAATATTAATTGATCATTTATGCATAGGTGCTTGATTTCTGGGTGCTTGATTATGTTCCATTAGTCTATGTGTTTGTATTTATAGCAGCACCATACTGTATGGATGGTTCTCCTGACCTCAGTGTACATCTTTATGACCATTATTTTGAACTTTTTAATGATTTTGTAATAGAAACCATACTACTATGAAAATGAATGAAATTGATGTGTTGCTATCAAAATGAATAAGCCTTACAAAATTTTGTCAAAACTGCCAAATTGCAGACTATATATGTATGTTTATAATATTCAATATTACTCATGGGCACATACATCTGTAATAGACTTATAAAAAATTTAGAGGAATGATAAAACATCAGATTTAGCAGCAAAGTTAACATGCTGCATTGCTTATCCAGTGGGAGCCAAATAAACTTTTTCCTCAAATTTGAAAAATAATATAAAAAAAAGCTTAACCTGACTGCCTTGCTTTAGTCCGGTTGGACAGATTTTAGTTCTAGGCCCACACCTGAAACAGTAACAGTTGCAAAGGTAATAATAACCAGACTGACTTAAATTTGAGCTCCTAAATTATTTTCCAAGGTGAATATAATTGCTATAATTATATGATTTAATCACACCCTAGCCCTGGAATTGAAAGTGAAATCAGCTTCCCCAGGTCCACAGGAAATTTGGGAGAGGCATATATCATGAACAAAGTGGAATTTTTTTAGGAAGAAGAAATCTGTAGGAGTTTAAGTGTTACAGTGACCAAGACTATAGTAGTAATGGATTATGGATACAAGGTGAATGGTGAGGGATGAGAGGTGAGGGAGTGAGAGAAGGGGAAGAAAGAAAGAATTGGGGTGGATGGGGAAATGGAGAGAGAGAGAGAGGGAGGAAGATTAAACTTGGCACCCTTGTAGTTAGCTTGTACGCTTTTATTTAGGGTGTGAAGCATAGGAGGAATGGAGGATTTAGAAAAGGAGATGAGTTCAATTTTGAATATATTGATTTTGAGGTACCAATGAGACAGCCAAGTGCCATTTGGCAGTTGAAGATAAAGATGTAAAGCTAAGGAGAGTGATCTCAATTGGAGTCATATTTAGGGATCATCAATACAACAATTTGATCCATGGGAAAAAAAGATAAATTTGCTCAAAAAAAAAGAAAACAGTCTACTACAAACTGAGGAATTCTGAAGAATATAACATGTAATAAATAAATGTCTAGAGGAAGAGACTAAGAAGGAAAAGCATGAAGAAAACCAGAGCTGAAATCAGTACAATAAAGGCAAGGATAGAGGGCATATGAAGATGATGGGAGCTGTCAAAATTGCCACATGTTGCTGAGAATTCAAGGGAAGTAATGATAATGTTTACTGGATTTAGCAACAAAGAGTTTGTTGGAAAGTACAATGAGAGAAATTTCAGAGAATTATAGGAGCAGAAGTCAGATGGCAATAGGGTAAGAAATGTATTGGAAATGAGCAATTGGACACATCAAATGTAAATAAGATCTGTAAGTTTAGCTGTGGAAAAAAAAAAGTAGGGATCCCTGGGTGGCGCAGCGGTTTGGCGCCTGCCTTTGGCTCAGGGCGCGATCCTGGAGACCCGGGATCGAATCCCATATCGGGCTCCCGGTGCATGGAGCCTGCTTCTCCCTCTGCCTGTGTCTCTGCCTCTCTCCCTCTCTCTGTGTGACTATCATAAATAAAAAAAAAAAAAAAAAAAAAAAAAAGAAAAAAAAAAGTATAGCTGTGAACAGAAGATACAAGCCTGTAGTTGGCTGCGGTGCTGAGGTTTGTTGAGGGTGGCCGATGAAGTAATTGTTGCTATAAGCGTTGTGACGGATGGCTGGAGCATGTTCAAAAGCTGATAGGAAGAGATTGGGGTCTAAGAACAAGAATTTAGTTAGTAGAGCAAGATCACTAAGGAGGGCGTGGGATGGGTTCCAAAGCACAGGGCAAAGGATTAGCTTTAGTAAAGAGAAAGGACTTCTTCCTTTGCAACAGAGGGCACAAAGGAAGGGACGGGTGCAACTGTGGGTAATTTTGTAGATTTGATGGCTGGAACTTGAGCTCGTGCAATCTTCTGAATGTGTCTCCTCTCCTTACAATCATTTCCTCATGATCTAACCTTGCAACCTATGTTCTGTTACATAAACAGCATGATACCTCTCTAACTAGTTTCTTGTTGTTTTTCTTCTTCCAACACACTCTCTTCCCTGTTGTGAAAGGAGTCTTTTTAAAATGTCAGTCTGATCATGTTATGCAATGAGTTGTAATTGTTTACCTGCCTGGCTCTTTTCTAGATAAGGAGACTATGAAGGGAAGTATTGTGTCGTTCATTGCTCTGTTCTCAGACTTTTTTTTAATGTAATGAATGTTCAAAAGATATTAGTTGGGTGAATAAATGGCTGGTGACTTTATCTCTAATGCCATTGGCACAAAAGTGTTTGTTTTTTATTGAGATTATCAGAAAGATAGATTGCTGAATACAAGTATAAAATCTTCTGTGGGTGGGACACCTGGGTGGCTCAGGGGTTGGGCGTCTGCCTTCAGCTCAGGGTGTGATTCTGGAGTTTTGAGATCAAGTCCCACATCGGGCTCCCTGTGTGGAGCCTGCTTATTTTCTGCCTATGTCTCTACCTCTCTTGGTGTGTCTCATGAATAAATAAATAAAATCTTAAAAAAAAATCTGCAGGACTTTGAGAATTCACAGTTAAGATCTGAAGGACTTCATTTCAAAGCCACTTCCCCACTTGCTCAAGTCTCCCTCACTTTCTATTTAAAAGCCTATTTCAGCAAAGTTTATTGAGTTTTAGGTTGAATTGTGCCTCTACAAAAGCTATATTTGAGTCCCAACCTCTAGTACCTGTAAATGTGACCTTCCTGGGAAAGAGGACCTTTTTAAAAATTTTTTGTTTTATTTAAATACTTAATATTTAAAACAGTACAAAAATACTGTTTTATTTAAATACTCTCTACACTCTCTACACCCAATGTGGGACTCTAACTTATGATCTTGAGATCAAGAGTTACATGCTCTTCATTTTTTTTTAAAGATTTTATTTATTTATTCATGAGAGACACAGAGAGAGAGGCAGAAACACAAGCAGAGGGAGAAGCAGATTCCATGCAGGGAGCTCCATGTGGGACTCAATCCGTGGACTCCAGGACCACGCCCTGAGTCGAAGGCAGATGCAGAGCCACTCAGGCATCCCAAGAGTCACATGCTCTTCTGACTGAGCCCACCAGGCATCCTGGGAAATAGAGTCTTTGAAGATGGAATCAAGTTAAAATGAAATTGTCCTGGATTAGTGTGGGCCCCAATCCAATGACTGGCATCCTTCTAAGAAAAGGGAGATTTGGGCACAGAACACACCGGGGAGAACACTCTATGAATAAAGGAGAGTTTGGAGTGATACATCCAAAAGCCAAGGAACACCAAGCGTAGGTAGGAGGAAGATAGGAAGACTTCTTCCCTACCGCCTCCAGAGGGACATGGCCTTCCTGATACCTTGATTTTGAACTTCCAGGCTTTAGAATTGTGAGAGAAATTATGTTGTTTTAGCTACCCAGTTTGTGGTACATTGTTATGACAGCCCTAGGAATCTAATATACCTTATATATGTATATAATTTTTCTTGATTAGATTTATTTCAGGAATCTTATGAAACTTCCAACTTAGGTAAGTCTTTGCACTTCTTGAATGAAAGTTTCTCACTCCTCATCCATCCAGGGAGATATTCTTTCCTATTACAACATAAAGTTCAAACAACACTGCAGTAACTTTATTATCTTTAGAACAAAAATGCACTAATCCCAAGGCTCTGGGCTTTTTTTAATTTTTAAAATTTTCCTCTATGACTTTCTTTTTTTTATTTCAATGTTGTTGTTCGACTAGGAAGAAAGATTCTAAATGACATTAATCTGTTTAAATTGCTATGTTTAAAACTCAGGAAACTATGACTAAGTACCTAGTGGGAAAGATCTGCCACCAGTCATGGACCTCACAAAGAAATTTTACAATGTAGTCTCCATGTTATATTATCTCATTAGAGTCATAAGATAATAAAACTGTGAAACCTCTGACCTTCAAACTACTTCACTATGGAAGCTTACAAACAAACAAACAAACAAACAAAAAATCAAAAAAGCCTTCCATGAGAGTTTGTTTTCAAACTACGAAGGTACATCTGTCTTACTTTTATTGAACCTAAAGACAACAAAAGGGCACGTTAGTATTTCTTTAAAGATATTTTATCAATTTAAAATATGTAAAAATGTAATCCTTTTTTCAGTAGTAAACATTTGGGATTGTATTAGAACAAACACCTAACTTTTTAACTAGGTTTTAATGGGTATATTTCAATTTATGTAAAATTATTTCAAAAGAATATAAATTGAACTTTTATGTCATGAGCTGGCAAATGAAATCACTGTTAAATTTAGTCATGTGTTACGAACCAAGGCAATTAAGGATAATAAAGACCAACAAGAGATATGGTTTCTGGTTTGTCACTTACTATAAAGTATTACAAGTAATTCATCGTACAATATATGGTGCTTAATTATCTAAAGTGATTATTGTCATATACTATTTTTAATATGTAATTTTGCTTTTTTTTGAAAAAGATTTTATTTATTTATTCATGAGAGACAGAGAGAGAGAGAGAGAGAGGCAGAGACACAGGCAGAGGGAGAAGCAGGCTCCATGCATGGAGCCCGATGTGGGACCAGATCCCGGGACTCCAAGACCACACCCTGGACTGAAGTTGGTGCTAAACCACTGAGCCACCTGGGCTGCCCATATTTTATCATTTTAAAGTAGGTAAAAATGTAATCTGTTCTCTGCATCTCTGAGTTGTATTATTTTATTTTTTTATTTTTATTTCATTTATTTATGATAGTCACAGAGAGAGAGAGACAGAGACATAGGCAGAGGAAGAAGCAGGCTCCATGCACCGGGAGCCCGATGTGGGATTCGATCCCGGGTCTCCAGGATCGCGCCCTGGGCCAAAGGCAGGCGCCAAACCGCTGCGCCACCCAGGGATCCCTGAGTTGTATTATTTTAGATTCGACATGTAAGTGAGATCATACAGTATTGGTCTTTGACTTTTTTCACTTAGCATATTCCCTGACAGAATTTCCTTCATTTTTGTGAGTAAATTAAAATTCCATTATATATAAAAATATGTATGAGTTAATATATATGCATATAAATATATAAAATAATAATACAAATATATCACATTTTCTTTATTTTTTCTTCCATTGGTGAATAGTTGTTTCCATATCTTGGCTATGGTAAGTAATGATGCAATAAACATAGAAATGCAGATATCTTTTGAATATACAGCCTCTGACTTGCAATAGTTTGACTTTTTCTGCTTTGTTATGGTGCAAAATATACATTCAATAAAAACTACACTTCAAAGATTTTAGATACTAACCCTTTATCAGATATTTCATTTGCAAATATCTTCTCCCATTCTGAAGGCTGACTTTCAGTTGTGTTGATTGTTTCCTTCACTGTGGAGAATCACTAGATTCCACTCCTAAATCTAATATCACACTATATGTTCACTCACTGGAATTCAAATAAAAACTTGAAACTACAAAAAAATAAAATAAAATAAATACCATACTTTGAATTTTTATCTTTCCTGGCTAGTGATATGTAGTATCACTCTCTTATGCTGCTGGGCTGGGGCAGTGAGCTGTAGCTCCCAGTAAGCCATGCCATCATAAAGTTGAACAACCCATACAGTGACAACCATTGTTTTTTACTTTCAGTACAGTATTCAATAAATTATATGAGATATTCAGCACACTATTATAAAATAAGCTTTGCATTAGAGAATTTTGCCCAAATGTAGTTCTAATGTAACAAATATAGGTTTCTAAGCATGTTTAAGGTAGGCTAGATAAACTATGATGTAAACTAGGTGTCATAAACAGAGTTTTGACTTAGGATATTTCTAACTTATAATGAGTTTATTCGGAGGTAACCTCATCATAAATTGCGGAAGACCTGTAGTGGTTTCATTTCCTTTGGATATATATAT